TTAGGCGTAGCACAGCATTATTCAGGGAGGGCTGCATGTCGGCAAACATTTTGTTGCTTAGCCAAAGCGGCGCCTTCAGCACAATTGCCTCGCACATTTCTTCGTTATCTGTAAGGAATATATTAGTTTAGTTTATAACTTGTATACAACAAATACTCACATGTATCTATGAACACATTAACCAAGCTCTGTAGTATCGCATCGGAATAGTTTGTGGTTATTAGCAGAAATGGGACTATAGCCACATCAAGGGACTTTTTGGGCTCCAAGCCGTCTTTGAGCATTTCACAGAATGCGGCACGCAGTTGTTGCTCATGACAGGATGTCATGTAGTCCAGAATTCCTGCTTCAGAGTCCAGATGACAACGATAATCTTCCACAAAACGCTTAATACCGCACTGCAGTATTTGCATAATGATCTTGTACGGAAAGCAGCCGCCCAGTCGCGCCACAATCCAGTCAAAAGTCATCGGATAGCGATGAAATGCATTCAACATGGTTTCCACACATGACTCTGCCTCCGTGTTGTTCAGCTTACGAAAGCAGCTGTTGATTAGCGTGAGTAGACCGTGCATTGCGCTGCACTCCAGCCAATAGTTGCACGAGGCAGGAATGGTCATGCGGCGCTGTGTGTACTTATCTGATAGCTTAGCCACTAGCTCCAAGCTCCAGTTGGCTATGAGTGGCGACCATGCCGGTGGACCTTTCCATATTAAATTCTGTAGCGACGTTTTGACGATATTAAAGCTTTCGTATTCCTCTGCCCTCATCTGTTGATGCGGATTGCCATCCTGTTTCATTTGCGATATAGGCAGGCCTGTCTTCTGATCAATCATTTCGGGAGATATATACAGCTGAACTCCGATCTCTGCCAGAATGCCAAAATAATCAAACACAATGTCCCGAGTGGCCGGCAGTTCATCAAGAAAACTCAGCCTGTGTACGTAAAATGCATTGAGTAAAAATTATCTGCTGAATTCATGTAAATAGGACGCAAACTTACGCCAGTTTGATTAATGAGGGCTTTGTTAGTAACTGTGTATTACTGTGGCCATTGCTAACTGTGTCTATAAATTGTTTAAGTTGGTCCAATATATTTTGTTGCAACATTTTAACTTGTTTGGGTCTATTTCTTCAGGCAGCCAGAATCCGAGTACATTGAATTGTTGATGTTGTATCGATACTATCGTGCGCAAACGACTATGCGATAGCACGTTCACGATTAGTAGCAAAGCGATTGTTTTTCATATATCGACTTTTTCCGAAATACAAGTAACGTTTTTTTTTTTTGCTACGTGACGAAAAATTGTAAACTTGCAAATGAGTTTACATGAATAAATAAGAGCAACGGTATAATATGCTAATGTTGCATCAACAGAAGCAGCATTTAAATTATTATTATTAGTATAATATTTTAAAATCAAATTATTTCTAAAGACAGCTATATTGCTGCTAAACTACTTTCATCAATTTTAAATTTAAATTTCTTTATCGATATTTGTATTCAACTGCATATATATCATCGATATAATAGCTGCGCGGAATAATTAAAATCAACAAAAAATTTCCACTTAAACCAATCAATCTGCATATAGTAAACATAAATTATTCAAATTGGTTGTATATGCATAAAATGCATTTTGTACCGTTTTGTTTTTAATGAGCTTAGCTTTTGCTTATGTTAGTAACTGATTTGCATACAAATAATATATGTACAATTCAGTAAATGCATAAAAAAATTAAAATAGAAATTAAATTTACTAAATTCTCATGCAAATTTTTAAATGTTGACGCATGGAATTTTTGTGCACCATATATTTCTTGCTAATTGACGAAATTGTTTAACTTGAGATCAATACAATGACCAATTAATATTAGTTAGCCGATTCATTAGGTTTCTGTGTCAACCAGCTGACCTTGATATCATTTCCAACATTGCCGATGTTAAAGTCGCTTGCGCAATTTCTAATACCTCTGTTTGGTTTTATGTGTGTACTAAACCCATCGCAGTGGTCTTCAACTTCATTCATGCTGATGATCATTATCATGATCCATCTTTAAACGCACATTCACACTTTTAACTGCTGCTGCTGCTGATGCTGCTGGTGCTGATGTTGGGTCTTCTGCAGATCAATATGCTTTGAACTTGTTTAGGCTGTTGACAAATGTTTTTTTGTAAAAAAAATGGACGCGCATCACGTTTTGTTGTTGTGTAGTGCGGAAAATCCACGCCGTGTTAATTTAATAGTCTTTACTATTTAAAAATATTTTTTGGCAAGCCACAAACTGGTTTTTCTCGCTTTCTGTATTTATTATTCTTGATTTCACGATTGACTTTCGATTGAATTGCATTGCTTAACGCCAATACCATCTAAATATGAGAATGATTTGCAGAATTAGAAAATGGCGCTTGAGTTAACCGTTATTTAATAAACACAACAACAATGATGGCTAAAGCAAGTGCACCAACAACAACAACAACGATCAGCAAGGCCCATGTGTTGCTGCAATGCAGCTGCAGTCGCTGTCGTTAGCAACCGAGGCATCGACTGCGACTGCGACTGCCGCCGCCTTTGTCTTTGAATTTGAGGCTTGAAGAGCTATTGAGGCTCTTTCAGCGCCAAATCAACGCATCAATCATTGGAAGTTACACAATGCTGGGCCAAAGGGGCCACCTAATGCCAGTTACTGCAATTACGAATTGATGTGGTTGGATTAGATTTTCAATAGTCATTAACCCTAGAATCGATGTAATTTATGTGTGTGTCTTACCTTTGCACGTTACGCCATGTTTGGTTAATTTGACAAACGCGCAAAACCGAGCGAGACCTTGAACTCCCAGCGTTAGTTTATCATATTTGTATTTAATAGCTGGTCTATGTTTAAATAAGGTCAATGTTCGTAACGAGTTTACAATAAATAAACAAAAAGCGCCAAAATATTCAACTTCAGCCACAACAACACCCACAAAAAACTGGCCAAAAATGGATAATGGCCTTAGCAACAAAAGCATCATCTGCCAAAGAAGAAGAAGAAAAAAAAAAAAAAAAAAAAAAAAAAAAAAAAAAAAAAAAAAAAAAAAAAAAAAAAAAAACTGAAAAAATTGCGCATTTGATCCCCACTTGACCAGCGCGTAAGTATGTATCCATGGTCCAACCGTTGCTCAAGCACCTGAAGGTTGCCCAATTAGGCGTACAGCCTGGCATGGTGATCAGTAGATGAACTTTAAAAAGCATTAGTCCAAGAAACGCAATGACCATACCGGAAGCTGAAGAAATATACCCAAGCGAAAACTGATCGGTGATCAAAAATCACTAGACAGATTTGTATTTATTTAATAAGTTTATATTTAATAACTAGCCAAAGATTTTAATTGATTAATTAAAAAATTTCTATTTAACGTAATTGTTCTCTAAAATTCTATCTAATTTATATTTATTATATTTTAATAGCTAGTAATATTTACTAATTATCCATCTAAGGCTCTGCCCATAACAATTTTTTATTCAAAATATTATAGGTATAATGCAATAAAGTGCAAAGGCTTATACATGTGCAAATAAGGCAAGCATTGTTATCAAACTTAAAGGCATTTAAATATCGTACTTTGTATAGTGTAAAACTTAAAGCGTAATAAGTCAATAATTAACTAGCATTATGCAATATTAACGATGATTCGACAGTATTGTGAGTCGAGAGAAATGAATAGCTATGACATACTTACGAACACAGAAGTCCAACTCGATCGGGCCACTCACAGACTAAGTCGAGCACAATGCGCTGATAAGTGTTTTACAAAACATTTAGTTAATTTGACTAGGAATGGCCAATGTCAAGGCAAATCATAAAATTTCAAATCTGAATGCAGACATTCGAAGTTTGAAATTCGAACATCACAGTGGGCTTGGTTCGGTCGCTTTGGTGTGCATGCTTTATGATTGAGGAAGCCGCAGTTGGCTATCATCGCAGGTGGGTTGGCTGTTCTTATTCTGGCACAGCATCGCACATACCCACACGTTGGCGCCATAAACGAGAGCCAATGTTTTTGTTTTTTCTTCTTCTTCTTTTTTTCCACTGCTTATTTCCGTTGCGTTGGTAGAGTCAAATAGATAAATATATATCAAAATAAACAATAGCAAAATGCGGCCAGCAACACATGCCAAAGTCTTAGTCTGGAATTTTAAATGAACGCAAATCTTTAAACTAGTTTTGTCTCATAATTAATTTGTATGCATACTGTATGCAAAAATATCGCATAGTATTGTTATTATTTTTGCAAATATTTGACTATTGAAATACTTAATATTTGCATTCGTATGCATCTACTCTTTCATAAGATTACGGAAAATACGCAAGCGCATTGTCAAGGGTTAGCTTATGGCCTCACATGGGCTTTCACAAGAACTTTGCACTCAACGCTCATCGTTCACTGCTTACCGTAGCTAAACGCAGCTAATCAAAGAAACGAACAAAAAAAAAAAAAAAAACACAACTTGAAAAGAGCGTAATAATTAGCACTGCCCTTTTGTGTGGGTGCAAAGGCACAGAGCGAAGAGCAACAAAGAGCGAAAGAGAGAAAGCTAAGCCGAAAAAAGCTTCAGCGCAAAGTCGAATGCGACGGCGCTTCAGCCACTCGGCCAGTCGGCCACTCGGCCATTCGACCACTCGGCTTAGCGCTCGGCAACAGCATCCTTGCACAAAAATTCGAACGCAAGCAGCAAAAAGTGAGAGCGCAGCTCTGACGCTCGCACACATATGCATACGCATACACATGCACATACACAAATCGCTGACAGCTGCCGACAACCTGTTGAGCTGTTGTTGAACTGAAGCTGCGCTCAGAATTTATCAAAAAGCTTTGTATTCGCTCACCAAAAGAAAAAAACTAAAACGCGAGCGTCGACGCCGACGTCGGCGTCAACGTCGTTGCCGCCGCGCCGCTTCGTATAAAAGTAAAGCGGCAACGAGAAATCAAAGTTATTTCAGTGTTTTTGATTTGAATGGTAATACGTGCGCTCACCTAGGCCCCGGTCGAGTCCAGTTAGAGACTACCGACTAGATATTTGTAAAAAGAAGCAGCTGTTCAAATCAGTTGGCCATCAGCAGCGGAGTTGGCAAAACGATAGTTTGATGTGACTGTGATTTAGTTAAAGTAAACACATAAATTCAACAAAGAATTCAATTGAGTATCGAGCATATTAATTGAATCTATATGAATTGTGTGACTTGTGCGCGTGTTTAATCAATTAATTAACATAACTGTCTCAAATACTTAACGTATGCAAATGCCAATGCAAGCATAGGGATAATATAAGTGCCTTAATAAATTCATTCAAAGTGAAGTATTTTGCCGCAAGCCACCAAATTGATTTGAATAATTGCCAGTGATAAAGCAAAATCGATTAAAAATATTGGAAAATTCATTCAACTGAAGTTAGTCAGCGGGAATTAATAATTACATAAAAAATGGTAAGTGCGAAATAAAAAACAGTGAAGTGACGATTGTTAATTTGTAATCTAATTAGGATAAATTACATGCCTATCACCTGCCCACGAGCTGCAAATAATAGTCATAGATATTTCTATGGCAGAACTTTGAACCATAGAATGAATGGTAAATCACCCGATCTAAATTGCAGTTGCATCTATCTATCTCCAYCCATAAGTCGCAATATCTCATGTTACATTGTGAATTTCGCAAGAGGAGGATAGATAAACACTTGAGCGCAGTCATTAAATTATCTGTTAGTTGAGGGCGATTAGGCCTCGCCTAACCTTCCAACTTAGAAATTTACACGATCGGGGTTTTTTCCCTTCAGTGTCAAGTTCTTTGTTTCTCTCTTTGATCGAGCGTTTCGTTTCTGCAGAAATGCAAATACGAGTACGAAATCTACAGTTCATATTTGTCAAGTACAAATTATCAAAAGTTTTCAATGTCTTTTCTTAACAATTTGCAGCGCACAGAACTTTTGCTGCTTGTATGTTTTTTTTTTTTTTTTTTTTTTTTTTCATTTTAATTTTCAAGTTTTCTACGCGACTTTGAATGATTTTTATTATTTTTTGGTGTCCGATTTGCAGTTATTTTCTAGTTCTGTTTTGCTAAAGTCTTTCGCACTTTAACTTTTCCACACACACACATACACACACGCATGTAGAGTGCATAGCAAATTTGTGAAAATTGCATTTTGTGCACTGTTGTTTGCGTTGCCTCTGCTGGTCAAGTGAAGGGCGCTGTTGGCCTGGTCGACTCGCAAGCGCGCGGGCTGCTGTTCGCTCGACAACATTTCACACGGAAATGCAATGCAGCCGCACTGACCTTGAATCTCCTCAACTGGATAACTGGATAACTGCACCGGTTGCCACATGCCCTCTCCGTGGCACTTAAGAGTCTGGGGCTTGATTGGCGTGGCCTGATGGCAAGTGAAATGGATAAGATTTCAGGGTCAGCATTCGCATCCGTCGATTGCAGCAGCCACGGCACCAACAAGAGATTGCCTCAGTGAACGACATTGCTGTTGTTGTATTTGTTTTGGGTTTTGTAGTTGTGTTTGTTGTTGTTTTTGTCATTTGCTGTTGCATTGTTTTTGTCGTGCCTTTTGCTTTGCTTATTCGCCAAGTTTTTTTTTCTTTATTTATTTTTAAATTTTTACTCATCATCGGATGATGCTGCGGCTGCTATGTAGAAATCCCAGTGATATTCATATTCATTCAGCTGCTTCACTGCAAATTCGACAAAACAAAAAAAAAAAAAAAGAAAATGAAAAAGTTAAAAAAATGTGCTTTTGGTTAACCAATCGCAGCTAATGATCCCAGCGCACCCATTGCACCATTTTACAAAAATAAAAATAAATACAAAATATGTNGTGGCCTCTCGTCTTAGTCCAGAGTCCTCCACTCCTTGGAGAAGGTACTCCACGCTGCTGAAGAACGAGTTAATTGATATATCACCTGTTCCCGTGAACGTTGCCAAATAATTGATGTTTTGAAACAATCGTTCCTTCTGAGCCGCATTGATGTTTCCTTGAAGCGTGACGTAAGCTTGATGTAGCTCCTCTAGTTGCTGCTCCTTGTTGATCAACTGCTCATATAATTGCTGCGCTGGCTTTTGTCGTAATATGCTGCTCTCTTTTCTTTTCTGGTTGCCAGCGTTGAGATGTACTTCTTTTTTTTTTTTTTTTATATTTTATTTTGATAGCTTTTTGCATTATGCTTTTGACACTGAAAACAGAGATTTTCAAGACGCTGACGACGCTATATTTATTCGTTCATATTTGTGTTGGAACTTTTACTAGGCCAGCAAATGTAATAACGAAAAAAAGCAACAACAACAAATATATAAAAAATAAATAAAATAAAAATTGATTTTAATCAAGCGATTTGTTTGCAATTGCTGTAAGCACCAGTTTGCCGCGCTGCCAGAGACAGTTTAGTCGCATTTACGTTGACGTCGACGGCGCCGTCAGCGTCGCTTGGCGCACAGCTGTGCAGCCATTGGGAGCGAGAGAGCCCGTCCGTGTGTATGCTTGTGTGTGTGAGTGATAAGTTTTCGTTCTTGTAGTTGTTGTTACTGGCCGCATGTGACTCGATCATTTGTGCTTATGTTCGCTCTGTTCAAGCAACGCGTCGTATGCGCGTTGCTGTCAAGTATCCGCACTGCAGCCGCAGGCGCACACACATACACACGTCGAGGAGCTGCAGTCGCCGCGTGTTGCAATAATAGTGCAATTTGGCCAAAGGTTTATTGTCTAACATTGAATTTGTGCGTGCCTTCAGCACATTTTTATCTCTGTATACAATTTGTATATATTTATTTTATGTATCTCCGCTCTCTATGTGTGCGTTTGTGTGTGTGTGGCCAAAGAGTKAACTCTATATCGTATTGTTGTAGACTCGCGACCAAGTGCTAAAAACTGATTAAAAATTTCATGTATTTTGTTTTGTTATACTCAAGAGAGACATAAGAAAGAGAAATAAAAGGTGGGCGCCATGAGTGTGACACAGGCAGCGGCTTCTTATCGGACTGTCGTTGAAGTAAGTGTTCTGCTGTGATAATTCAATTACTGCTCGTTTCAGATTAGAGAGCATATAAACATATGCATGCTTGTATGTTACGATAAAAGCATTCAAATGACATTAAACAAGAAAATAACAAACTTTTAGGCAGTCACCGTGATTGATTAGCGCTTCAATTATTATGCATTTGCTTTTGTTTATATACACACACATATAAAGCTTATGCTTTCGAATAAAATATGGCCTTAAGCTCGCTTAAAGGCCGTTCATTTACGCTCGGGAATAAGGTATTAATTTATAAGCAAAATTGTCACTCTGAACACCATATTTTGGCTGAAAATTTATATGAATTAGAGATAAAAGCATGCCATTATTTGTGTATTCTCAGCATTGTATTGTATGAAACAGGTTGATGGACAGCGTGCTTAACTGTCATGCAAGTCCTGAGCAAAGTTGTTAACATTTATCATTTGCAGTCTGGGACTCCCAGCCAACAAGTTCTCTGATGGCCTGCCGAACTGAACTGAATTGAACTGGATTGAATTGCCTTACGCATATTTACAGCTGTGCACTTGATTATTTGCTTAACTGTGCAACGCTCAAGTCAACAAGCCGCAACAAGCATGCAATACATTTTAAGCCACATACACACACAAAATGGAAAGCAACAAAAAGAACAACTTGTAACGGGGGCCTCTTACACCAATTACTTGGTATTTGAGGCCACAGCGGCGACGGCAGCAACGACGGCGGCGGCCAACTGCTTGATTGCCAAATTAACGCGATTTAGTTGCTCTAAAAGTCGCGCGAGCGCCCGCTCAAACTGCCTCAAAGTCTTCTTTTGCCAGCAGACAAACAAGAAATATACACATATATATGTTTCTATATATATACCATATATACATGTGTGTGTATATATTAGTCTTTTGCTTTTTTCTATTTGGGTATATTTATTCCAGCTTGTGCAGCAAAGCGGTTTTTTTTTCTTGATGCTGATGATGAAATAATGTTGAGACGTTAAGGCGCGTTTTAAAACGCGCGCAAGTCGCTAGCGAATGTGAATGTTGTGCAGATCGCGTTGCATTTTCAACTTGACCCACAATTGCAGCAACTGCAACATCAGCACCACCAACAGCACCACCAACAGCCCCACCAACAGCACCACCAACAGCAGCAGCAGCAGTTGAATGTTTATAATTTTTCTCTCTTATTTTTATTACTACACCCGATCGAGACTCAAATGGGCAGCACATTGCAAGCATTATATGCTAGTGTGTGTCTGTGTGTGTATTGGTCCATTCGGTGTTGCATAATTCGTCTTATTAGACAAGATGCCGCTGTTGAAGTAAAAGTCTCAAGCTGAACCTGAATTTTGGCTTCAAAAGCCAGTTGCACACACACATACATTCCTAGCTGATCTCTATGTGTGTGTGTGTGTCTGTTGTTGGACTGCGCTCAACTTGACCTATAAATTGATTTTTATGTTGTGCAGGTTCCACAATTCGTTTTTCGTCTCTCTTCTTTTCATTTCATTTCACTTCTTTGGCCTATGCTTTTTGCGTCTATTCAAAGCAATTTTTTTGTGATTTATTTTGTATGTGTTTTTTGCTTAAATAACCACAAAAATCACCAAGTGCGACACGAGCTTTGGCCGCTAGCTCAATTGGCCCCGTAGATTTCTTAAACCAGTTTCCTCGTCTTTTCATTTCTTATGCGTGTTTTCTTAAATATGTATTTCTTTTGATTTCTTCCCCGGGGTGGGGGTAGGCGGGAAAGTAAAAGTGTTGAACTGTATAATTATACGGTTTTACGAATTTGTATTTATATTTTGCTGGTATTTTTTTGTTTGTCTTTTGTTAATGGCATAGCAAATTACTTGGTGCCAGATGACACTGTTACTTATATAAAAAGTTTCGGCTCCATAAAAGTAAATCAAATTCAAAACACCACTAAACAGACAAGTCTCTAGTCGCAATCACAGACTCCGATTCCGATTCCGAGACAGGCCCCAAAAATAAAGAGTTTAAATTGGCAAAAAAAAAAAAAMAAAAAAAAAAAACACACACAATCCAGTCCAACTGCCTGGCCGGTTGGCCTTGCCAAGAAATGTGTATATACATATATAGGTAAGACAAAAATTTGGACTGACCATGTTACTTCATCTCATCGCCGCCTCTCGACACCTTTTACTCATCTTGTCTGTGTCTGTGGCATCTCCCCTTGGATGCTGTTGACTTCCCAAAGTTTTGCGTTTGAAACTTGTTGTTGTTGTCTTCTTTATGTACTGTTAACTTGTTTTTTTATTTTTTATTTTGGTATTATCTTGATTTAATTAATTGGCCAGTTGTTGAAAATTGTTAATAATAGTATTGTTGCCAGCTTTGTTTTAGATATTTTTGTATATTATTTTTTGCAACTTTTTATTGTTCAAAAATTTTCTTTGATGCACAATAGGT